TTCGCTTCCAGGCAAAACCAAGTCATACCACGCGCCTCCGCGTCAAGCGGCCTGACCGGTACAGGCCGTAGTCTGGCATCGTCTGGCATCTCTTGGAAGCGAGGGTGGTCAAACGCGAGGCAGGTTTGTTTTCCCCCTACATCTGTGTGTATTTACGGTAGGTTCGCGTCGTGTCGACCCGCGGCGACCCCAGCGCGGGCGTTCAAGGTTGAACGCCGCCGGCGACCCAGAATCGATCGATGTTGAACGATCGGACGTTGCGGCAGCGGCCGATCGTTCAAGGTTGAACGATCCAGCGCGGTGTCAGGAACCAACGCCAGGGTCGACAGGGCACGGACCTGCAGTACTTGCGTGTCCCGGGGCCCCGTCGTGCGTGTCGCCCAAAAGGACTCCTCCGGCAGCGCCGGGAGCTCGTCCAGCGGCGGCGGGGGCTGCGGCGGCGGGGCGGCCGGCAGCGGCAGGGGCCTCTGCGGCGGGGAGGCCGCGGGCGGCGAGGCGAGGGTCCCGAAAGCGGGCGGGGGTCGAGAGTTACGTCGGGCGCGTCCCCCTCCTCCTCCTCCTCCTCCTCCTCCTCCTCCTCCTCCTCCTCCTCCTCCTCCTCCTCCTCCTCCCGTTCCTCCTCCCTCCTCCCTCCCTCCCTCCCTCCCTCCTCCTCCTCTTACCGGATCCACGGACCCCTAGTCCATTCGCAGGTGGATAGACTTCTGTCGGGCGTGTCCCCTACAGGGGGATTTTCGACGACAAATAAAGGATACCCCAAACATACCCCAAAGAGGTCAAAAGATGCTCAAAAACACGTCCCCAGACTATTGTTGGATTATGTTTTGATTATTTTTGGGGTATTGTTTACTTGTCGTCGAAAATCCCCCTGTAGGGGGACAGGCCCGACTTGAGGGTACGATCGAACTGGATGCGGAGAGACCGGGGACGAAGACCCACAGCAGTCCCTGTGCATGTGAACCGGATTCGCCGTCGGCGTCGCCGCGGGCGTTGTCTGTGCGAGACCACGTGTCGCCTGCCCAGCATCGGTCGCTGTGTGTCTTGGACAGCATGCGCGTAGGGCATCGTACATGTTTTTCCGTACCCACTCCAGGCGTGCCAATCATGGGATCGAGAAGTCATGGTATTGGTTCGTCCAAGATTTCTGGGTCTTTCTTGTTCTGCACGGGCTCCATAGGCGAAGGCCGCTTTGCTCCAGGAGTTCTTGGAACGCATCCTGAGCCAATCGTATCATGACACCACTCTCGTCCTTCAGAGAGCTCTTTGGCTGTCTCACTTCCTGGCCTTCCATCGTTCCGGGAATCAATTTTCTGGCTTTATTGCCGGACAGTTGCGCAGCGGTTTACCCTGCCTGGCTCTGGTGTGCGTCGAAAGCCTCTCGGATTTGCGCCTCTGGAGCACGCACCAACTGCACGCTTGCGGGCGCACCTGCCTGCAGCAGATCCTCGGACAACATGCTCGCAATCGTTCGGAGGGCACCAACCATACACCAACACCGATCCTGGCCAGGATCGGTGTTGGTGTATAGTTGGTGCCTTCCTAATCGTGCGCTGCACGACGCTGCAACGATGCCCCCGAGGCTCCGGGCGACCTCTGGAGACCTGTGGAAAACGGCTGCCCAGGCTCTGGGTTGCGCACGGAGGGCCCCAGGAGATAATCTGGGCTGACCTCAGCAGCCTCCTTCTCCTCCTCCTCCTCCTCCTCCTCCTCCTCCTCCTCCTGGCGGCGCCCCCGTCGGGGCGTGCCACCCCCCCCGGTCTGGACTCGGGCCGCTGCCCTGGGCGGGGGGCCGTCGGTGCGCAGCCCCACGCCGCCGAAGCCCAGCCCGCGAGGTGCCCCTGGCCGCGCGGGCGTTCGTCTTCGTGACCTTCTCGCTGACGGTGCAGATGTTCATGTCCTTCAGCGGAGGGGCCACCCCCGCCTCCCTCCCGGCCATCGAGGAGATGATCCCCGACATGGGCCAGATCGAGAAGGGGCTCCTGGGGTCGCTGGACAAGATAGGATGCGTGTTCGCCTCGGTGTTCTGGGGCTGGGCGCTGCAGCGCTTCCCGACAAAACCGTGCCTGTGCACGGGGCTGCTCCTCTGCGCTGGCTTCTCCTTCGTGTTCGGCTTCGCCAGGTCGAAGTACGCCATGTTCTTCGCGAAGCTGATGCAGGGCTGCACGGAGTCTCAGCAGATCGTCTGGGGCAACCTTTGGACGACGGCGCGCGCGCCGCGGGAGTCGCTCTCCTGGTGGATGAACATGGGCGGCGTGGCCGCGGGCGCGGGCACGGCCATTGGCACCGCCGTCGCTGGCTTTGGGATTGCGTGGAGCATGCCCTACTGCTTCGCCTACGCGGTCCAGGCGGCGATCCTAGCGCTGTTGTGGGTGGCCCTGCTGCTGACCCCGGCGAGCTGGGTCTCGCTTCAGCGGCACCGGCGGGAGCACGTCGGGGGCCAGGCGCAGATGTCGTACGGGATCCTGTTCAGCAAGCGCCTGTACTGGTACACCATGCTGTGCGTCGCCCAGAACAACTTCATCGTCGGCGGTCTCCAGTTCTTCTGGACGCGCTTCTTCATCAACGGCCCGTGGCACCTGAGCATGAGCACCGTGACCCTCACGAACCTGCTCGTCAACGGCCTCGGCATGTGCCTCGGCATCGTCTTCGGGCCCGTGCTCATGAACGCGTACGGAGGCTACACGGACGACCTCGGCCGCTACGTGACGCTGTGCCTGCTCCTGCGCATCAGCGCCCTCGCGGTCTTCGGCGCAGGCCTCGTGATCCTCGCGACGGGCATGCAGCTGAGCGTGTGGGGCGACCGTGCCTGGAGCGACCTCCACCACGCGGGCAGCGACAACGGCCTGATGGACAGCAGCCTGTGGAACCCCTGGCTGTGGGTCTTCTGGGCGGCGACCATACCCATTAACTTCTCGCTCGCCGCGCAGGGCGGAGTCCAGACGGTGATCAACATCGGCTCCGTGCCGGAGGGCCTGCAGGAGGTCGCCCAGGGCGTGACCACGTCGGTGCAGAACCTCTTCGGCTACGCCGGCGGCGTCATAGTCCCGAGCGCCATTATCGACGCGAGCTATCGAGGACGCCTACGGCGAATCACCGCCGCCCCCTGCCTGTTGGAAACGCCCATGCGGCTAAACGTTGGGCCGAAGTCTGGCCAAGCTATTGGATTATTTTTCCCCAGTCGTTGTGGAACCCAATGGGGGATCACTTGGGAGAGCCAGTGGAAGGAGGAGGAGGAGGAGGAGGAGGAGGAGGAGGAGGAGGAGGAAGAGGACCAGTGTAAACCAAGACTCATCAACGACATGGTTATACACCCGCTGTCCAAGTTCTCTCTTCATAGTCATAGGACCCTATGTGCACCGATAAATTTCACTGAGTGCAGTGCCCCGCTGGAAGACAACCGCATGAAAATCCAGAGTTGTGCCAGAACGCCTGGGACGTCAACGCCACGAATCACCGTTACTGTTGCGTCTTGACGATCCTGAATCGCGCCATAACATCATTTCTGGGACCTGACACCGCGGATCAACGTGCTTTCTGCGCCCTGACATTCCGACGTCGTGCCAACACGCAAATTATGGAACGTTGGACATGATGCTCGTTGAAGTATTGCATGCTCCGAGGGCGAATGCGCGCGGCGCTGAGGCGAGAGCCGCGTGCTGGAAAGTGGCCGCCCTCCGCGCGGGAAGCTCCAGGCGAGTGTGCGCGGCGGCACGGCGAGGGCCGCATTCTGAGAAGGAGCCGCCCTCCACCCGTGGAGCCCCTGTAGACTTTCTGACGACGAGTGGGCGCGGCGCCTGGGCGAGAGCCGCGGTGTGAAGACGCACCGCCCTCCATGCGTGACAGCTCCTGCAGACCTCTAAGACGAGTGTGCGAACGAGCAACACACACCCACACCCATATGGGGGGTGGTTGGGGGGAGGTCTGGCTATGGGCATGGGTGCGGGTTGTCGGGCCCTGGGGAGCGCTCCCGTTCGAGCGGGGGCCCCCATCCGACAACACGCACCCATAGCCCTTTCCGACCCCTCTATGGGTATGGGTGTGTGTTGTTGGTTCGTCAGTGCGCGGCGGTAAGGGGAGAACCACATGTCGAAAACAGTCCTCCATCCGTGAAGCTCCTGCAAACGTTTGAGACGGATGCGCGCTGCGGCAAGGCGATAACCACATTTTGGAAGAGGGCCGCCCTCCATCCGTGAAGCCTTTGCACATTCAAAGCTTCAGGGTCGTAGTTGGTGAGGGAGACTCAGGCGAAACGCCCGGCTGGTTTTGTCGATTGGCTTCGGGGTGCGGAAGGAGTTATTTATAATGAGAAGGAATGATGGAGGAGGAGGAGGAGGAGGAGGAGGAGGAGGAGGAAGAGGAGGTGGTGGAGGAGGAGGAAAAGGAAGCCTCGTGAGGCCCTCTTGGGGCCTCCTGGGGCCTTCCTGGGAGCCACTTAGGGGCCTCTGACGGGCCTCTTAGGGGCCTCCTGGGCCTCCTGGAGCCTCTTGGGGGCCTCTCTGGGACTTCTGGGAGTCTCTAAGGAACCTCTTGGCCTTCGGATGCCGTCTTGGGGCCCTCTCTGGAAATTCGTGGGTCCCTTTTCGGGCGCTTCAGGATCGTTATGAAGGTCTATGGGGCCGCTTTGGGGCCGTCTCGGTGGCCTCTTGGGCTGTTAGGGCCTCTTGGGGGCCTCTGGGGCCGTCTTGGAGCGTCGGAAGCCCGACAAAACGAGAACGCTAAATTCATAGACAAACCTCAGGGCACAATTGGTTTTGGCCTCTGGGGTTCTCTTGGAGCCCTCTTGGGGCGTCTTTTAGGGGCCTCTTGGACCATCTGAAGGACATCTTGGGCCGTCTTGGGGTTATCTTGGCCTTCTTTGAGGCGTCTTGGGACCGTCTTGGAGGCCATCTTGGACGTCTTGCAGGCCACCTTGAGGCCATCTTGGGGCCATCTTTGGAGGAGAGGCCAATGGAGTACGCAGCTTACGCTGCTCCCCAGGTGGCCGGCTCGATCGGCTGAGTCCCCACCGGGAACCTTTGAAAACAATGACCAAGATAATCTGATGTTTGGCATGCCGTGCAATCCTGTGGCAAGCCACATGGGGGCGGTGGTTCTATTGGCCTTCGGTCCATCCCGCCACCGTGAGCTGCAGGTCAGAGGCCTCTCGGGCCCTCTTGGCCCAGTCTGGGGCGTCCGTGGCTCCGCAAAAGTCATGCGGGGAGCGCGGGGGATCCGCAGGAGGCACGCCAGGAGCCCAAGAGCTCAATCCTGAGGACCGAGGGCTGAGGGCTAGAAACACATGGGGAAAAACGCCATAAACATACACTTTTGGCGCTCCGCGCGGTCTTGCATCCGCGCTGGGACCCCCCGGCGGCGCCTCCAGTGCCGCCCCTGGCGCGCTCCGCGCGCCAAAGAAGGGGTCCAGCGCAGATCCAAGAAATCGGCGCGGAGCGCCACAAGTGTATTTTTTATGGCGTTTTCTTTTTCTGTACATGGGGACTCGAGGGCTTCCAAGT